GAGAGACCCTGTCTCAAAAATAAAAAAGGGTTGGGAGTGAAGCTCAATGGTAGAGCTGTCCCGTGTTCAATCCCCAGCATCTCACACATACACACATATACACACACAAACAAGGGTGTTTTTTTTAAGATGAATAATTATTCCAGTACCAATAGTTTAAAAGACTACTACTATTCTTTTCCTTTGAATTACCTTTACATCTTGGTTATGAAAATTAGATGACCACTTAGTGTGAGTGTACTTTGACCACTTAGTGTGAGTGTACTTCTGAATTCTCTATTGATTGGTTCAACCTATTCCAACACCAAACTGTTTGGATTACTAGCTTTACTGTACTTTAAATCATGAAATTGGTACTGTTAGCCCTTTATAATTTGGTAGATAGATTTGGAGCAGTGCTCCATCTAAGGCTAATTATTTCTTACTACTGAAAGTACACCAAAGGTCACAAGAAACAGTATCTGCTCTCAGATAGTTCAGTTCTGCATGTCTCATGAATGGTTGATCTTACTTTTTGTATCAGCAACTGCTCCTCATAAAACTGTTATGTAAACACTAAGTGGTGGTGAGAACACATTAGGTTTTCTTGTAAATTGCCTATTTTCTCTCATGGTTTATAAATCACACCCTCTGATCACCTGTTCCACATCTGTAAAACGAAGACTTTAATGACAAAAGCTGCATATCGGCTTTTGCTCAAAAAGTACTTTATATAGTTCCTCTCATTTAATTCTCACAACACCAGGTCTTAGATGCAAGATAATCTTGCCCATTTCATTTAGATACTCGTAAGGATATGAATAAATTGGAACCCCTGTACCTGCCAGTGGGGATGTAATTTAGGAGGTGTGGAAAACAATATGGCAGTTGGCCAAAAAGTTAAACACAGAATTACCATATGCCCAGCAGTTTTACTCTTCAGTGTATACTCCAAAGAAATGAAAATTGTTATTCAAGCAAATACATGTAGACACATGTTCACAGCAGTACTACTGGCGTTAGTTTAAAGACACAAATAGCCCAAATATCCATCAACTGATGAATGGATAAACAAACTGTGGTATATACACTCAGCATAGTATTATTTGACCRTAGAAGAAATGAATTTCTGGTAGACACTACAAGAGGAATGAGATTTAAAAAATTATGTTAAGTGAAAAGGCCAACATGAAAGGTCATATATTATAAACTTTCACTTATGTGAAATGTTTAGAAAAGGTAGATACATAGAGATAAAAATGCAGATTGGTGGTTGTCAGGATAGTCAGAAGGACAAGAAAGCAACCACTTGCAAGATAAAGAGTTTTCTTTTGGAGCAATGAAAACAATTTGGAACTACAGGTATTGTTTGCACAACACTCTAAATGTACTATCAGCTGCTGAATTGTTCCCTTCAAAATGGTTAATTTTATGTTAGTGACTATCACCTCAAAAAAAAAAAAAAAAAAAACTTAGAGAAGTGGGATTGGTCACCCAGCACTAAGATTCCACAAAACCAAATAACTGTGAAAGAAATTTGAACATGTAATTGATTTTCACTTATCTCTAATAAATGGAAGACAGTAGTCACAGATAATCCCAACTGGCATACTTTTGGATAATCACTCTTTATAAAACCAAGCCATCCTATTATTATGAACAAATAAATAAATAGCAAATATTTAAATGTTTTCTGTAATTTAACAGAAATACATTCTTTGAATATTGTTTTAAAGTACAGTTCATTTTGAAAATTTCACTTGGAGGTTCAATGTTGCAAACTTTGGATATAAATTATGTTTGAGTATGTCCAACACTGCAATACCCACATCAGAGGGGTCAAAGATATAGAAAAAAAGAGCCAGGGCCCAAGATTGCTGGGCTAAAATAAAAGGACTATCCTCCTCACCTTTGCCAGGCCAGAGAGGAGCTCTAGAGCTGCCAGTGATATGCTCATGTCTTGCCGCCACTGGGAATTGAGTCTTTGGGTGACGAGATGAATGCTGCGAATCAGGAGCCCAGCAGCTGAATCTGTATTAAGAGCTAGGATATAACCCCAATGCCACATCCCACAGGGAGGGAAAACAACTAAGCATTAGTAACGAGAAGCACAGCATTCCACCAGGCACAGACCACAGCAGTCACAGTGAGCACGACGGGCACCCACACAGCRCTATGTTCCCCGCCCCGCTGGCCTGAGCTCCACGCCTGACACACAGTGCACAGGGCACGCAAGCTGGATCAGGGCAGTTTCTAGTCTCAGCCCACAAACTTTCACACAGACAATCATGGGACCTGACAGTGTCAGTATCATCTTATAAAATGTTAAGTCTTAAAATTTCTAAATTAACAACACATAGAGTATTACATTTTCCAAAATAATAATGAAAAGGCCATCAAGTATTTTCTTGGAATTTTACAAAGGAAACATTCAACTTTTACAGCCCCCTCAGATGCTGGAAAATACTGTAAGGCATCTGTTAAAATTTCTTGCAGGGTTCAAACAATCAAAAATCACATGCAATGCCTTTTCAAACCCACTTTAACATTTAACTCTCTAAGACTACTTTAATACTTCTAAAAAAATTAAATAATCAAGCCACTACATTTGGCTTCCAATTTTATATTTAAAAGTAATTACTACTTAGCTAATAGTACCTTAGGAGAAATTAAAATTAGGACAAATTAAATTGAATTTACAAAGGAAGCTTTAGGGACATTATACCTGTCGATCCTATCAGAAAGAGGGCAGTGACAACAGAAAAAGGAATGATCATTAAAGAGAGACATTCATGCGACACTAACACAAATCCGGATTTCTTAGTAAAAATATTTTATGACATTACAAGCAGAGATCACTAACACCAGTTCAAAATGCTGAAACAAACAATAATCACTTCAAACATTTATATTAGAACACATGCAGTAAAGTAAAAATATCTTTTAAGTTATTTTAGAAAGCATGAAAAATAAATAAAATTTCAACATARAGTATACCTAGATCTACATACTCAATGAATAAGGTAACAATTTAAATAACTTTCTTATAAATATAATATTTGATTTACTGATTATCCAAATAATGACTTTATGTATCTGACATGCTCAAGGATACTTATTGTAAACAAATCACAGAAACATGTCCCATGAACTCATGACTCTAGCTCATGAATTTTCCAGAAGATTATAAAACTAAACTCACATCCAAGAAACTAAATATAATCCTAATCTTGTTGGATGAACACTCACAGATTCAATACACTGTTAGTATTTGTGTGTAGAACCATAAAGTTATATACCACAAATTCACTGAATYTATAAAGTAACTTCCAAGATAAAGGACATGGAAAAAATAGGATGCTCTGCTGGCAAATGTAGAATTTGGAAAGGCAAAAATGTTTCCTTACCCTTGCTTAAAATTTGTGACCAATGTACCTAAACTAGGGTACAGGATATAATAGGGTACGTAAGTTTTCCCACTACTGCATGCTCCATCACTTCCCTTACCACACAGTAGTAACAGATTGACTAGACATCTGTGCCATTAGCATGTGAGATCTCAGGCAGGGCCCATATCTTGACTCTGTATCACCAGCACATGGACAGAATCCCGATCACGCATTATAATCATCTWTGAAATCTAATGAACTACTCCGAATACAACCACTAAAAGCTATATAAAGTTATTTGTTTTTTAGACTAGTATCCTCTTTCTTATACTTATGTACATAACATTTTATATTTTAGTTGTTTGTTTTAAAAATCTGAATATTTAAATTTTGTTTTAGTTTTTCTTAAATAAATCTAAGAATTAAAGAAATTCTGTAAAACTCCAATTAAAAAAAAATAGCTTACCATAATCCCTCAGGAGAGCTTGAGCAGGTCTCTCACTGTCAGGAGTTGTGGGCTCTGTGCTTCCACCACTTGCTGAACTAATACCACTATTAGTGCGACTATGACTCTTCAGGTTATTTTCTCCACCACCCTAGTCAAATGAACATCAGTTAAGTATTTGGGGATTCCATCAGAGTTTACAGGTATAAAAAGAGGTTAATTATTAAAAACTATTGATAAAACGGAATGTGACAACAAACAGCACAAATGATGAGGGAATTAAAACTGCTGTGGTATTTCTGCAGAGACACCATCTGCTAAAGGGTATGAAGGGTTTGACAGCTTGACAACATTCAGTTTGACAGAAATGCTTTTTTTCTGCTGTTACAAAGGGCCAGTCTTAAATCTTTTTCATCTTCACTAGACCTTGCTAGCTAATGACTTTAGGTCCTTAAAGATAATACTCTACATGCCTCCCAAGCAAAACTTCAAAATAGGAATATAATCTTAAAACAAACAAAACAACACTTGAGCAAAGAGCAGCAACTTTCAAATTATATTATAAACCAAAAATAATAGATTTCCTTCACTTTTTCCCATACAAATATAATTAATTATATCCAAATCAGTAATTTTTTTTTCATATTTTGCTACTGGGTCAGTAAATTATTACTAAACATCTACTGAGACATGAATGTAATTTCCCTGATAATAATTTGATAATCCGCCTATATCCACCCAGCTCACCCCAGTATACTCTATTAATTCCTCTACTCCCCAGCCTTTATCCCAGTATAACAATCATACAACTTGAAGAGGGAAACAAGAGGTACTGAAAATCTCCGGGAAGTTTTTTTGATTTAAAACATTAGTACTCTGGGGGACCTGTAAACTTTGATCTGCAGGAATTATAAAAAGATTATAAATAGTTATTACACAAATAAAATGTTTTAAAATGAAAAAAGTAAAAGACAAAAATAAATAAATAAGTAAATAAATAGTTCTTACATTTAGATCAACTAGGGATAGCAAAAATTATGGAGTAGGRGGCCTTTCCTAGATTATTTAAGCTGCTTAATCATAATAGCAAAACAAGTAAGAGCTTTAAATAGATACTTTCCAGGAATAAAAACTAGATTTAGCCGGAGTTTCTGTCATGCAGAATCTCCTAGGGAACTGATGTATAGCAGATGACAGACCAAGAGGTAAGAAAACATAAAAATATATGATATTTTAAAATATGACCCTTCTAACTCAATGAGCTGCATTTACAAACAAAATACCTTTAAAATTACAAGGACAGATATTCTGGAAGGTAATTTAGACAAAATCAGAAGTTAATCATCTCTGATAAGATTACATGTTGTAAAAAATATATATATTACATTTTGTGTATTTCTTACCATCTCCATTTGGCAACCAATGGCTTCTAAGAGTGCAGAATCTTGAACAATATTTAACATTGCCCCTGCAATAGAAAAAAGTATTTTATATAAAATAAGTGATAAGAACACTAAAATGGTTCACATGATTAAGAGCAGAGATAAGAACAWGATTTTGGCTGCATTTCCTAAACTTCTCCAAAAATTACTAATAAATCTGTTGACTGGTCARCAAAGATAAGAAGAAATCACCCAAWTGTGATTTGCCCCCAAAGTTTTAAAATCCTTTTTTTTTCCTAAAATTAATTCAAAAATCAAAACTTTTCTTTGTATAAAAACATGCCTACTGTCAGATGTTTTATAACTGTCATGAAAGGGCAGGTGCTAGCATCTCAATTACCATCTTCAAGGGTAATAGAAACTGAGAAAAATATGGAATTTTTTTAAATCTTTTTTTTTTTTTTTAGCTACACATGACATTACAATGAATATGGAATATTTTTAAAATCAGGTTGTGGTTTTTAAATATAGGTTTCTGTAGATGGGTCAGAAACTTAGAGTTTACTCTAAGTGTAATGGGCAGCCAGTGGCACGGAGACTGGCCTTATCTAGCTTATCCTTTAGAACAATGATTCCAGATTAAGTGGCGAAGATACATCTAGCAGGACACGAAAGGAAGCAGAAAGACCAGGCAGAAGGCTCTGATAATTAAATTATGTAATTAAAATATGATAAGCTCAGTCACAGTTTCTAGGAGTGAGATGGTTGATTGGGATGTATTTTGAATATAGCATGGACAGAAGAAGACCTAGAWGTGTAATATTGAGGAAAAGTGAAAAATTAAAGACAGGCGAGTCTTAATTGAGTAATTAGGTATAACAGAGGAAGTCATTTACTGAAGTGAGTAAGCAGACTGGTGAGGAACAGATTTAGGGCAAAGATGTGAGAGGTAGGCAAGATAGGCCCAAGTTGCCTATCTTTCAGTTATATAGGTGCTGATGTTAAGTAGGCAGCTAGGAACACACTGAATTGAAAGGATATATTTAGGCTGAAGAATGTGTGTGCGCACGCGTGTGTGTGTGTGTGTGTGTGTGTGTGTGTGGTGTGTGTGTGTGTATGTATGTGATATGTGATATATATATATCATATATATATATATGAGATATGAGATATTTGAAGCTATAGGATTAATGAGACCACCTAGAATAATAGGGGCAAGGACAGAGCTTTAGAGTTTGCAACTTAGTTCACTGGTAGTAGAAAAAGAGCTAGCAAAGGACACAGAAAAGGAAGATAAAATTAAAATAAAGATAAAATTAAAACCAGGTTAGTATGATATGATAGGGGTTACAAGAAAAAAGTGTTACTAGAAGGAGACAGTGGTCAATCAAGCCAAGTGCTGGTAAGATTATGACAGCAACTTGATCATCAATTCTGGCAAGATGGAGATCATTGGGAACTTTGATATAAATCGATTCAGAGGAATCGTCAGGACAAAAGCCTTACCATAGTGATCTAAACAAAAAACATGAGAGGCCAAGAAAATTGGGTACAGAAAACCAGTTTTGATTTCAAAGGTTGAAGAGAATGGGGGAACAGCTAGAAGAGGTAATAACAGGGCATATTTGTATGCCAGTATAAATAATCTAGTGAAAGGGGAGAAACTTATCAGATAGGAAAGTAGGTGAGAGTAGTAGCACTTGAGAGTAGCCTTGAGAAGGTGAGAGCAACAAGTGAAGCGACATTCCAGCAAGCTGAAGCTACATCTGTCTATATCCCTACTACCTGCACCTTTGCTCTTTTCACTATGGCTACACTGAAACATCCTYACTTGGCTCAAACACAGGCTGCTTCCAGATTGTTTGCCACTGCTTTTCCCTCTGTTTGGCATCCTCTTCATCCCAGGTATCTGCATGACACTCTATCTCTAACTGAACTGCCCCCTCTGATCTGCCATGTGGCACTCACACAAAACAGCCCTTCTCTATCTCCATTCACTACTATGTTTTCCCTTCCCACATAATACACAATCTTATTTATTGTTTGCTCCTTGTCCTCACTAGAATGATTTTTGTTTATTTTGTTCCCTGCTGGATCCCAGAGTCAAGGATGGTGCACGGCACATAAAACATAACAGAACTCAAGTATTTGTAATGAAAAAACAAAGAATAAATTTTGGATATGTTGCAGGTAGTTGGTAGAAATAATGAATATGAGATAATTCTCTCTCTTATTTGAAACAGGGTCTCACTAAGATAGGACTGGCCTTGAACTCACTACTTTCCTGCCTCAGCCTCTTATACATGCATACGCCACTACATCCAGCTTGAGCAAATTCTCATCCAATGCATTTTTGCTGAAATAAGCAGCAAGGTCATTAGCTAAGTGTAAGAAATAAGCAAAAGGCTGGAGATGAGGTGAGACAAATAGAAAAGTGAATTTACTCAGGAAATGTGGTAAAACTATCAAAGTTAAGAGCTACCTGAGATTTATAGTCATAAGTCTGAGAAGGCTAATCAGAAAGCCCTATTCTGATTATTTTCCTCTAGGACTGTTCAACCACTAAGGTACTAATGTGAAATAAACAGGCAGTTAAGCAGAGTTGAAGTTTAAAAATGTTAAGGGACATGGAATCTAAGCTGGGTAAGGAGGAAAGAGGTGAAGTGAGAGACAGTGGAAAAAAGTAGGGCCAATGGATTAAAGGCTGAAGCAGGAGGTGGCATGCCCTTTCCATAAAAGGCTAGGAAGTAACTATTTCAGATTGTGTACCATATAGTCTCTGTTACAATCATTCAATTTTCCTATTGTATCACAAAAGCAGCCACAGACAAAACAAGTACTACTGTGTTCCAATAAACTCTACTATAAAAATAGCAGCCCAAGCCTACATTTTGGGAGGAAATTTTTACCACATACACATCAGATAGAGCACTAATCTCTAGGATATATAAAGAACTCAAAAATCTTAACACCAAAAAAAAAAAAAAAAAAAAAACAAAGAACCCAATCAATAAATGGGCCAAGGAACTGAACAGACAATTCTCAGAAGATGATATACAATCAATCAACAAATATATGAAAAAAATGTTCAACATCTCAAGTAATTAGAGAAATGCAAATCAAAACCACTCTAAGATTTCATCTCACTCCAGTCAGAATGGCAGCTATTAAGAATAYAAACAACAAGTGTTGGAGAGGATGTAGGGAAAAAAGGCACATTCATACATTGCTGGTGGGACTGCAAATTGGTATAGCCAATATGGAAAGCAGTATGGAGAATCCTTGGGAAACTGGGAATGGAACCACCATTTGACCCAGCTATCCCACTCCTCAGTCTATACCCAAAAGACTTAAAAACAGCATAATACAGGGACACAGCCACATCAATGTTTATAGCAGTCAATTCACAACAGCTAAATTGTGGGCCAACTTAGATGCCCCTCAATAGATGAGTGGATAAAGAAAATGTGTTATATATACACAATGAAATATTACTCRGCATTAAAAGAGAATAAAATTATGGCATTTTCAGGTAAATGGATGGAGTTGAACAATATTATGCTAAGTGAAGTTAGCTAATCGCAAAAAAACAAATGCCCAATGTTTTCTCTGATATAAGGATGCTGATTCATAATGGGGTTGGTGGGGGAGCATGGAGGATTAGATGAACTCTATATAGGGCAAAGGGGTGGGAGGGGAAGAGAGGGGCGTGGGGGTAGAAAAGACAGTAGAATGACATGGACATCATTACCCTAAGTACATGTATGAAGACACRAATATTGTGACTCTACTTTGTGTACAACCAGAGATATAAAAAATTGTGCTCTATATGTAATGCATTCTGCTTTCATATATAACAAATTAGAATAAATTTTTAAAAAATAGCAGCCCAGATTTGGCCCATGAGCTATAGTTTGCTAATCCCTGTGAGAGAAAATTGCCAGTGTTTGAGTAAAGTGCACAAAATGAAAGGATAGAGGGCAATAAGAAATGGAACATTTGAAATCAAGAAAGCAATGATTTAGTTTTCAATGATGTAAGATCTAGAATAAGATCATGGCAGACATGGTGGTAGCACAATCTGTAATCCTAGTGATTTGGGAAGCTGTTACCTCTCAGGAGGATCCCAAGCCTGAGCAACTTGGCATGACCTGTCTCAAAATAAATTTAAAAGGCCTAAGGTTATAACACAATGGTAGAGCACCCCTGGCTTCAATTAATTCCCAGTACTTAAAAAAAAAAAAATCCAGAATAGAATCATAGGAAAATGGCTGGAATAGGGAAAGAGGAAAGATCAACGGTACTAAGGAGGACAAGGAACTAAGATGAATGTTGGTTTTAAGTGACCATTGTTTATGTCTAGCTAGAAGAGAATGATGGTATCAGAATGGTCTAGAATGAGACTAAGTACTGGGCAGTCTATTCAGAGTGTTCCTAACAGGCCCAAGGCAGAGTCCACTTCTAATGTCCAAAGGGTTACAGCTCAATCATAACAATAGCCATTTTTGCACTGGACTAAACATTTTATACATTGTTTTATTTCTGACAATTCCCTGCATGATAAACACTATATTTCCCACATCCTGGCTCAAATTTTTTTTTCTATCAGATAAAATTTATGTGCAACTGCAAAATACACAATTTAAGTGGCAGAATTCTCTTACTTTGTATTTTTCTCCTTTCTTTTTTTCCAACTGTCTAAAACTTTGTCAACAATAACATAAAAGAGGGTATGTAAGAATCTCTGTTCATTCAACTCCTTTCCAAAATGACTGATTCTTTCCTATTTATTCTACCTTTTCAATACCTAATGTACTAGATTTCCTGAGTACTCTCTCCCTCCCACTCCTGCCATCAACAAAATGAGTTGGCCACGTCATTTCCTGTCTTGGAATTAAAACCATATTTCTGACTATGTAAGTCCTGACCTTCAAGACATAATCTGACCCCCATTTCCCTCTATTATATCTTTTCTGTCCTTTTGATTTCCTCTCTCTCAATACCAGAGGCATGGTAAGAAATGGGTATAGTCATCAAATGGAGAAGTAAAAAGGATCTAAAATATGAATCCTCATGGCAGTGGCCATAATAATGTGAAGCCATCTAAGACAGAATTAGTACAATTCAGAGACAACAGGAAACAACATGGAAAAGGGAAGATGCCCAACAAGAGCTACTCCACAATTTCTTCCCAGCAGGGTTCTGCTTGGCTTCCAACCCTGAATTTTTTCACATGTAAGTAATGGGAAGGAAGAAGAGAAAGAAGAAAAAAGAAGGGAGAAGAAGAAAGAGAAGGAGAGAAACAGGGAGAAAGAAAAACACAAAGCCCAAATAAAATGACCAACCAAGATGACTGAAAGGCTTTCCTTCCCTCATCTAAACTTTTTAAATATTTTTATATCAAAAAGCAAATAAACTCTGCCTCTGATTCAGAATAATAAGTAGAACTGCATAAGCTTACCTTCCTATCATTGACTTCTGCTTCCTAAATGTGCTTAAGATCAACTGTACCTGGGATTGCACTTAAAAAAAAATACGTGAACACAAACCTAGTATCATTTGGGTGTTGTTGGGGTCCGTTTCTGTTTGCAAGGCACCTATTAGTATATTCACAAGTCTCAACTTCAGGGACAGAAAAGTTATCGGTTTATCATAAGAAGAGCTGTCATCATTACTAAACTTTCCTTCCAGGACCACCTATGGAAAAAACAAGCAATATTTAACATCAGCTGTTATATGTATTATGTCTTTCTAGAGAAGACAAAAAGATCATTGAACAAGGCTTGCAATCTAATGCTAGCCACTATGCTAAGTTTGTCAATAATTCCCTTGATAGATGTTGTCAGATTTTATTAAMCTATAACTACTTGAAATGTAGGCCACAGCATGCTGGCAGTCCCACACAAGAAACATCAGAACAAAATACCTTCAGTAATTTACATGAATTAACTTGAGGCATTTGTTTTGTTTTTTTAAAGCCCCTGTTCCATTTTTAAATATAATTTGACTTAAATCAACACAMAACACAACATAGAATATAAAAAACTCTAATAAAATGTTACCTCAGATTTGACTGTGCCAAAATGATGAGGGAGGGGCAACAAAGAAAGTAGGATGTTAATGGAGGATCTTCTTAGTTCTGTTGGATTTACATAGCTTTTGAATTTTGAGAGTTCTCTGCCAAAAAATAAAAAGCTATTAGCATTTTTTAACTAAAGTGCATTATTAGCAACTGCTAAATATATATTCACATTCACAATCGTGTGTGTGAATGTGTACTTCTATGATAAACAGTTATTAAACTAGAATTTAACTGATTGGCTGATTTCTTTATTTAAAATGTAAGGCCTGTTCTACAAAGATAGGACCTCTGGCTGGGTTTGCTCTGATCCTTGAGACCAAGCCAAAAAGGATTTAACAGACCATGGATAAATCAGAATTGGAAGCATCTAGGAAGGAGATGGGTTTGATGCTCTATACTCATTTAACTGACCAGCATCTCCTTGGACTATGAAGACAACTGAACAGGATAAATTAAGAAACAGAAGGAAACACCAAACCAGACAATTAATATAGTAGTAGAGAATGACAGCTTACCTGTCAGGCAAAATGGTTTCAAGAGCTGAAATAAAGTAAGGAACCACAACATCAATCCCTTTCAAGTCACAGCAGAACAAAGGAGGGGAGTTTAGAATAACGCTGGCCAAGACAGGATGGCATATATAATCATTTATCTGCAAACCTTGAATTAAAAGCATGTAAAATCTAGGGAAGCAAGAAAGAAATTTTAAACAAACTGCTGATCAAAGGTTTTCATAATTATTAATATTTTTTATATAATCATCTGAAAGTCTTTTTCTACTCTTTACTATTTCTATCCTTTAAAAGGTATTAACTAGAATACAAACAATTCAAAATCACATATACTTAAGAGCCAAATAATCCCATAGAAGAAAAAAAGATTCATATCTATTATCCCTTCTTACAGTTATAAACCTTGTAACTCAAAGTCATAGGTGCTTGCAAATTAGGCAACAAAACAAAACAAATGACTAAAGTATGTGTCAACAAACTAGTGGAATTACTAAATCAAATTCCATGGCAGTGAAATTCCAGCTTCTCATAGTTCCTGGAAAGTAAATATATGTTTGTATCATTCCCCTATCCTTCATTTTTCTAGGGGAATAATGAAAGAAGAAACCTCATTATAAAGCCTGCATTCATCATGACAGTCATTCTGAATAAGATTCCTTTTAGGATATACCTAAATATATCTTACTTTTACTCTATCCCAAGCCCTAATCAACTCACTAAGTACTCAATCTCTTGTCATTTAAGAGTAACTATATCAGTACACTCTTTGACTACTGTGAAGCATTTTCCTCTTCTCTGCAAAACTTTGGAAACAACTTCCTCATCTACTYGCTCAAGCCAGTACAATCTAACTTCTTTCCCTAGTACCAAAATAAAACCATACTAGAAAGAATCAATGGCCTCTCAACTGCCAAATCCAGGAGACATGTTTAAGTCTTCACTTCCTCCACCTTTTGAAATCATTCAATCCTTAATTGCTCCTTTTTCTTCTGACCTCTAAAGCTATTTCCTTTAGAAGATTCTCTTCTAGCTGCCCCTAAGAGTGGCAGTCCCATCTGTCCTACCAACACCAGTTCTCTAAACTCTCTTCTACTATCCCAACTTTAAATGCTTTGTAAGCCACTGAATGTAATCAGATCAGGTCTAGCCTACACCTCCCAAATTAGCTCCAGATCTATCAGCCAAAATCTTACTGGATATCCAAGCACAGAACATGTCTATTCCTATGCATAATATCTGGCAAAAAGTAGGGACTTAATATATATTATTTGTTGATAAATATCCCACAGGATATTTTTCAAATTTCTAGGTTCAAAACTAAATTTATCATCTGTCTTTTCACAAATCTGTCTTTTTATCATACTACCATCATCCAGTTTACAGGCCAAACAGAAAGCTCATGGTCATAGCATTCCCCCTTTACTGCTATTGATATCATTTAGGACATCTCTCCATTTCATGGTCTCTCTTCTGAGAAATGGGAACCCCACCAGAGGAGGTGAGCCCCAGCACCCTTGCAGATACAGCTGAATGTACCAGACATAGACATCTATTTAATCAGATCGTCTTTCCCATGAACCTGAAATTGAGAGATGCTAATTAAYTGCTATAAACCTAGACCAAGGTTAYGGAAATTGCGAAGCATCCTACATTATAAGAATATGATCTACAGAGAAGAGAAAAATGAAGTAGTTCCTGAAGACTATGAAGACTTGAACACTTTACAGTCCTTGGTTCTTGCTCTTTGTAAGGCCTTGCTGCACTTCCTGATCTCAAGTTTAACGAGTATCACTAGCTTCTCATAACTCTCCCTTTTGCTTAAATCAGATTGAGAGGGTTTTTGCTTAGAGCTCAAAGCCAATGATACCCATCGGTAGTTTCTTGCTTTTTCATGCCAAATTTTCTGTACTTGATTCCCTTTGACAGAATCAGTTTAATTCTTTCTAGCAGGTACACAGATATCTAAAGGCTCTAGTTGATATTAACCTCACTCCAGCAGCTGTGTGAGTCATCAGTTAAGGAAAGCAAAGCACAGTCAAGAAAAAGAAGAGGCTATTATAAGTTCATTTAGGAGAAAAGTGACAAAATCTGAAGTGTCATGGTAGGGAAAAGAGTGGAGAAAGAGATTAGAAAGAGGGTTAAGTTACACAAAGGCACAAGAGCTGAAAGGCAGGAGGAATAACTTAAGATACATAGGGAAAAGAGTTTGAAATGACTCCTACTTCCTGGCCTGAGCAGCTGAATGAATGGCAAAGCCATTCACAAAGACAAATGGAGCCAGAGACTTGGATAAGATGATTCAACCCAACTTCCTAGCAGTCTAAATATTGTTTATTCTTTGTAAGTCCAGCATGATCATCAATCTTCCAAAACTCAGTTTCCTGAGTTCCCTAGGGTAAATATGTATTGCTTCTACCTCTGAATGCCCACAGTCTTTACCTGTGCCTCTGTCCTATCAAACTTCCTTTTCCTATTGAATCACTGTTACTTGTTTATATAGCTTTGTTCACTCCAGAAAATAAGCTCCTTGAAGGAAGAATTTACAGCTGACTTACTTCTAAACTGTCTATAGTATCTAACACTATGTTAAAAACTTGTTAGCAAATCATGGTGGTCCTTCTAAACTTCTCCATACAACTCAAATAAAATAACATTTCTAAAATCAAGAGTCTTAGAGGTCTTTATCAAAACTGATGAGGCAAGTAAAGTGGAAGAATTCAAGCAAATTTCAATTACATGCACACATCTGCAGGTATTTTAGAACTACATTTACTTATCAATTCAGCCTACCAAAATGCTACAACAAAGTTTCACTTCAAAACTATATATGTAGACAGAAAATAAACAAACAAACAAAAAAAAATTCTAAGACCTGGATAAATAAGCTGGCAGAATCTCTTCTCCAGTCTTCTTGCTACAAAAAATTCTACACAGTGTCCCACATGCCTCAGCTCTTCCTGCTTCATAGTTATCAGGAAATTCACTTGCATCAAACATAGGATTGGTAACCATGGTGTCTGTGGACATTTGTGACCCTTTCCGTCGAAACTCCATGCTAGCTTGTGTTGTAATGGCTGGGGAGAGAAAAGGAGGGTTTTATTATATTTATCAACATGCTAAATAGGCTCATGGGACCCTGGACACAAAGATCAAATATTGGTGTCATTAAATAGCTACTTGAATAGAATCCAATAATGTTTTTTATTTTTTTTTTTCAGCAACTGTGTCTTAATTTTTTTTAAAGGGCTCTCTTGAAATCTTCCTTGAAAATAGGTAACAATTAATTTTATGGTGGCATTGTCAGTTTAACAGATTCTACAAAAAGCATTTTCAACTGATTTTTTATCAGAAGAATACATTTGAATATATCTGTATCACATACAGACATATAAACAGAATTTGGCTTTTCTATTATTTATTTTCTATTCTTTCCTCTCCCTATGGAATGATGCTCAATTAAACATTAAGTAMAAAAGCTACTTCAATTTATATATTAACCCAGATGGACATCCTAATTACAGGGGCAACCCCATGCCAGTTTGTATACTTTAGGGAGGGCAAAGTAAGAATCAGAAAAGGGGTAGGGAGGAAGAGAGAGCATTCCCACCGTCCACCCAACTCCAAAACACACATCAAAGAATTGCCCAACCAAGCAAAATGAAAATGAATTTTAACAACCACAGACAGCAACTAACTTGAGGTTGATAAATCAGAAAATTGGATTGATAAGAAAGATTATCATGGTCATTCGTTGTCACTGAAACAGAAGCCCTTCGAAAGTTGCTTTTATTTTTGCCAAAAGATTTCATAGTGTATTGAAATATCACTCTGAAACCTTTTATTACTCTACATAAAGTGTTTAAATTATTTTGTAATAATAGGCTTAATAGAATGCAGAGTCAAGCATAAATCTTTATGCAACTTCCCATGAGCCATTTTTAGACCTGAATAAGCTATCCAGCAATAATACATTTGAAAAACACTACATGCAGAATGCATACAAATCAAACACTAAATCTGTATAAAAATAAGCTTACAGCTTTAAAAAAAAAAAAAAAAAGCCAAAACACAGTTAGTGCAAAGTCCTGGAATTCATGACATGACCAGACTAGTATACAGAAATAATGGGACTGATTCAGGCAGATTAATTTGCTTTTGCCAACAATCTTCCCCATTCAAAACACAGAAAAGTATTTTTCTTCCCAAGTGCAAAAACTACAAGAGACAATGACAATCAAAATTTTTAATGGAATTATGAAAAAAATAAAAACATGACTGCAATTAAGGAGAAGCTTCTGGTTCCTACTTACAAGATTTATAAGAAAGAAGAATTTGGATAAAAGATGCTGCAAGATAATAGAAATAAATGGAAACAAATCAAAGGACAGCAGTAATTATAGAATACTTTAAAGATGGTGAAATTTTACAATAAGTTAAGAAGCTTTTTAGCTTTCAAAAAGTTAAATTTAAAGATTTACAATACCACAAGCTAGTTCAAAAACATAGGAAATTGTGCATTCAGATCCAAAATTATGATTTTTTGTATCATGCAAAACAATGAACAAAGGAAATCACACAACTACAAAGAATTGAGGTTCTGAACTGTGCAAAACGTGCATTAAAATTTATAGTTCATTAACCCTTCCCAGCTCAATGTTACTTTTACAAGCACAGTGATAAATCTAAGTAAATCAGGTAAATCTAAAGTTAACCAGTGCAAAGAAGCAAACACTTTAAGTTAAAGGTGAACTGCATGGCAGAATTCCTTGATGGCAGCCAGTACTTAGAAAACAGTTAAGTATATCCAAGACCCCCACCACCCACCAACACCTGGAGACTGGCACCCAATGGTACTCCACAACCCCTCCAACTACTTGGACATCTCATATCTCCTGGGTAATGTAACAGCTTTATCATCTCTAAACACAGTTAGGAGGAGAACAGCTTCTATCCTTTCTCCACCAGTGAAAATGTTAAAAGAAGCTGCTCACATATGAACTGAATTCTGATTTCTATCTTTTGGTATAAGAGAGTGAGCAAAGCTGTTACAAACGTCCTAGAGATAGAAAACTGTAAGTTTCCTTTAAGCAAGCCTTCCAACAACGTTGCATGTTGAGCCATGCTACATTCAGGGATTTCAGTGTCAACAGCTCTAAACCCAAGTTACATTGTAAGAATTACATCTCAACAAAAATTTGTAAAATGACTGACTACACAATACCATAAAAATTAAGAAACATGGTTCGGGAAACTCAAGATATAAGGCACATGAACATAAGGCAAACAGAACCCAAAGTAAATTTAAATTATTTTTCACTTAGTCATAAGTAAGCACATTTATTTATCCATAAGTAAACCCTACTTTCAAACTTGTGAATAAAATTATAATATGGAAATGACAGAATACAAAGCCTAAATTTGAACAAAATAAATTAGGCAAAGGAATCCCTCAATTCACTCACACAATCTCAAATTATATTACTGAAAAATCTTTAAATTTTTTAAAATTATTTTAAAAAATTGTTAAGTATCTCCAAAATAATCATAAGTATACACTATTCATAGACACAGACCTTCGCCTCCAGATGATACATGATAACTATCAATGTATTTTTGAGAGAAAACAGAAACCCTTATGGCCATTATATTAGTCTTATCCTGGAATTAATGTTCTCCTTAGAGATGCAAAAACTAATGCAATCAGGCAACTTTTTTAAAAATTTCAATTCATTTCCAACCCCAGTAGAAAAGGGCTTTCTTACTGAATAACCAAACACTTATGAATACATACTCATAGTGTTAGCAGATAGTAATAGCAGCTCAATAAATGCCAGCTATTATTGTACAAGATATATCATAAATATTCAAAATATTCTGCACTAACGTACTCATTCAYCCTGAACCCTATGCTACTACTTCCAAGTGTAATGGTAAGATGACAAAAATAAACTAGATTTTATCTAGACAGTTTAATTTCTATAATAAGATCTAAATGAAGAATATCAGGGTTATTAATTCTCTACCAGCCTTAAATTATGGAGCAGATCACTCTTTTTGAAAACATACACTTGAAAGAAAGTTCTCAAGACTAAAACCTGAGTGGTTGTAGTCTACTGTGAAGCAGAAATTTTCTGATATTTATATATACTAATGATTGAATGGCTGTCAAAAATCTAAAAAAACACTTCTTTGAGTAAATTTCAAGTCAAAATCTTTAACTCTTCACATAAATATTATTATCCTGGCTGACATGAAGGGAACTTCCAAGTCACCTACAGAAAGGAATTTGTTTTGACAAAAAATGGCTAACCTGAAGTGTGTCTAAAAAAAAGGCCAAACATCACAGAACATATATAAAAAAGACAATGAGAAAACTTCCAAAGTTTCTATTACTTCAGCTGGAAGGGGTTAAGTACAGATACTGCTTGGTCAGAAACAGACTGCTTTTCAAGATACATATTAATCTTGCAGGTAGGAAAGATAAAAAAGAAAAAAAAAGGAAAGGAAAAAAATGATAACATATTTCTTGAAAAATATTTACCAGTCATGCTGCTGTCTCTGTTTATCCCATTATGAAGTTTACAGTGAACAAATGCTGCGTCAAATAACCATGATCCAAAGAGATTCAAGATGCTGTTAACCTTTGGTCTCCTAGGGGCAGGCAATGGCCGAGGTTCTGAACTAGTCTGATTTGGACTTGACAGAGGAGAGGTTGAGGATGTCTGATGCTGGACTTTTGAGGCATGAGCAGTACTGACCTATCGGAAGAACATAAGAATATACCCAAACCCATGAAAAACGTGAGAAAATGGCAGGTCTTTTTTAAAAGAATGGCAGATTTAAAAGTCAACTTTATATAACATAACAATGGTGATGGAAATTCTTACTGTGCTTGTCTTCATGGTGGCCTTATTCACAGTAACAGCCCGGTGCCTCCGGTTATGTGGTGGGGTGGTATTGACAGCAGTACTTTGAGGCATGCTTAACCTATTCACAGGTGTTGGAGGAGCACTGTCTGATCGAGGTCTAGAAATGCCTTTAAAAAAAAAATGGAATTATTCCTCAGAGTTCAAAGTATGTGATCAATGGTAGAGCACTTGCCTAGCATGTGTGAAGCCATTGGTTCATACCCTAGCACTAACAAACAAACAAAAAAACTATGTGATCAAAAATCTGCAAATAACATTTGTGAAGGTTMGGGACACTGTAGCAGAGACTGCTAGTTGCCTCCATTCATCCTTTCTTCCTGAGTAATAGAATACCAATTTAGCTGGACAGAGCTATCCACAATAAATGACTACATTTTCAAGCTTCCCTCGCAGCTAGATGTGGCCATGTTTTAACCACAGAGAAGTAGGAACCTGTTAAGCAAGTCTTCTAAGAAATCTCCTTAAAAGGACATCAGGTACATACTCTCCTTCCTTCTTCATTCTTGGACAGTATATTTGGAACTCACTCAATAATTATGGCCCATCAGGCAGTGCACAAAGGATGAAGAGCCACCAGGCAGAAGGGCCTTCAATCCCTAACTGTGTTACTACTACTACTACAGCCCTGAAGTGCCTATCCCTGATTTTACATGTATGAAAATAAACTACTGTATTTAAACCACCAGAATTGCTGGTGTTATTTTGCTGCTAAGCTTAATCAGAACTACTCTATTAACTGTGTAATATAATCTCAAGTATATATAACAAGTGTTTTAGAACATAACAGCTATTAAATATCACTGCTTTTCAATGGGTTAAAAAATCTTGACTTTTCATAAATACAAAATGTGAAAAACACTTTAAAACAGTGGGTCAAAATAAAAAAATAAAATTTTTAAAAATGGGCTTGGGATGTAGCTTAGTGATAGTGCTTGCCTACCATGTGTAAGGACCTGGTTTCAATTCCCAGTACTGGGGGGATAAATTATATATATACATATATAAACTTAGGTATAATTTGGTTTCTAATGCTATATAATGAGAATGATCTTTAGTGCATTTTAACATGTATTTTCTTGAATAATTAGTGAGAATAAACACTTTTCTCTTTTGCAAATCATTTGTCTGTATCCTTTGTCCATTTATCTACCAGGTTTTATTCTTTTTCTTAGCATACTATTTTATCTATTTATATAAAGACAATTAATAACCCTCAGCTATTATACTGATGCAAATAATTTTTCCAAGTTTGATATCTGTCAYGAAATTCTTTGSGTTTTCCATAATAGCTTCTAGGATTAGACTCTACAGTTATCTAAACAAAACTCTTTGAACATCTAGCAACATATGCAAAATTCACCTAAGAATGCATCCACAAGACAGCTGATTCCACGCATGGCACGAAAAAATATTTGAGGCAGATGTTTAAGGCAGGGATACTGATTTAATTCTTGCGGCATTCCGCTCACATTCAAGAACTGTTCCTGAAATTTGGGAGTAGAGCTTATAATRGCTGGGTTACTCAAATCCACGGGATTACTATCAAAAAAGAGAGAAAAGTTAATTATACATTGAGAAATTTCTATAGCAATAAAATGCATGCAATCCAATTTAAAAGCAAGGCTATTTGTGCCTGTTTCCTTTGACTAGGAGAGACTGATTCTACAAGCTAGGGATTCAAACATGAATGTTTCTCTACAGAAGATCTACAGTTTTTTATATGAACTCACCCTATTCATAGAATGAGAGGCTAAATAATTTTAAGTTTTTAAAGAGTATACATGGATTTTTTCCTAAAGTTTGGAATTTAGCAATGGAATACTAAAGCTATAAATAAGTCTACAAGAATCTCAAGGAAAACTTTTGATTTTAATATCAGCATTTTCAATTTTTTTAATATTTATTTTTTAGCTTTAGGTGGACACAATATCTTTATTTTGTTTTTATGTGGTGCTGAGAATCAAACCCAGTGTCTCACGCATGCTAGGCAAGCATGCTACTACTTGAACCAAATCCCCAGCCCAGCATTTTCAATTTTTTTAAAAATATTTATTTATGTATGTATCTTTAGTTTTAGGTGGATACATTAGTTTGTTTTTATGTGGTGCAGAGGATCGAACCCAGAGCCTCATGCATGCTAGGCGAGCACTCTACCACTGAGCCACAACCCCAGCCCCAGTATTTTCAATTTTTAAAATCAAGTTTAGTGTTAGTTTTAAATTGTGTTTATGTGTACATACTAAAGCCACAGAGTTTTAAAAAATGAATTTGGGCTTGATTATATTTTAATGTACAAATAATTTCAAGTATCTCCTTTAAAAAACAAACCTAGGCTGGGTGTAATAGTGCACGCCTATGATCCTAGCAGAGTTCAAAGCCAGCCTCAGCAACTCAGCAAGACCTTGTTTCTAAATAAAATATTAAAAAGGACTGGGGATGGGGCTGGAGATGTGGCTCAGCGGTAGCGCGCTTGTCTGGCATGCGTGCGGCCCGGGTTCGATCCTCAGCACCACATACAAACAAAGATGTTGTGTCCGCCGAGAACTAAAAAATAAAATATTAAAATTCTCTCTCTCTCTCTTTCTCTCTCTAAAAAAAAAAAAAAAAAAAAAAAAAGGACTGGGGATGTGGCTCATTGGTTGAGTTGAGTGCCCCTTGATTAAATCACTGGCACCAAGGGGAAAAAAAAAAAAACCTATCCCCAAATGACCTAAATTAGAAGTTATTGGCTCATATGACTACAAAGTCTCTGGACTCAAAAAATCTACAGAGATACAACAAAATAGAAAACTACAGATCCATATCCCTGATGAAAATAGATGTAAAAATTCTCAATAAAAAATATTTTTAAAAATATTAGTGGGCTGGGGTGGTGGCTAGGCGGTAGAGCAGATGCCCAGCATGTGTGAAGCCCCAGGTTTGATCCTCAGCACCGCATATAAATAAATGAATAAAATAAAGGTATCGTATCCAACTACAACTAAAAAATTTTTTTTWAAATTAGCTCAGTGGTAGAGTGCTTGCCTAGCATGTGTGAGGCACTGGGTTTGATACTCGGCACCACATATAATAAAAAAAAATCCAAGGACAAATAAATAAATAGATAGATAGATAGATAGATAGATAGATAAGCCAGGCATGGTGATGCATACCTGTAATCCCAGCAGTTTGGGAGGCTGAGGCAGGAGGATCACAAGTTCAAAGCCAGCCTAGCATGTGTGAAGCAACTTAGCAAAGCCCTAAGCAACTCAGCAAAACCCTATCTCTAAATAAAATACAAAAAAGGACTGGGGAATGGAGTTCAGTGGTTAAGTACTATTGGGCTCAACCCCAGGTAACAAAAACAAAAGCAAATTTAGATTTCCATCTGAAATGTTCTACCTAGCTGTTGATTAAAAAGTCCTTCTGGGCGACTGGGGTTGTAGCTCAGTGGTGAAGTGCTTGCCTAGCACATATGGTATCATACATCTGGCAGCTCAGGAGGCTGAGTCAGGAGGATTGTGAGTTCAAAGCTAGTCTCAGATAAAGTGAGGTGCTAAGCAACTCAGTGAGACTCTGTCTCTAACTAAAATACAAAATAGGGCTGGGAATGTAAATCAGTAGTCAAGTGCCCCTGAGTTTTGGTACCCACCTGCCCCCAAAAAGAGACTCTTAACTTCAAGTAACTCTAAGGGGGAAGGGGACCTATATACATGGAAAAATGGGCTTCTAATGCTAGCATACTGTATCCACAAGACCACAGTCCTTCATGACAGGCAGAAGAGGTAAGAAGTCTCTAGCAGCACTCCCTGCTGGGGCTTATAGTTCATCTGTTCAGAAACAATTAGAGTGGACTATACCTCAAGTCCAGTATAGCTCTGCTATATTCAGGTCTATTAGATACTGAAAACTGGGAAGAGGAAAGGCTTATACAAGCTCTTTCATATGTAAGCCAGAAATGATTTTATTTGGACTCAAAATTCAAGAAAATAAATAAAATGAAATGAAAATGGGTAACAGAGATATGGAAGACATAACAAAAACTGCATTCCTGTAGTTACCAATGTACTGTATACTTGACACATTTGGGTAACTTGTTTAAAAAAAACAAACCCAGATTCCACCTAAATTTACTGAAACAAAATTTCCAGGTAGGGCCTAAAGGGCAGGTGATCATGCACAAACAAGTCAAAGAACAAGCATTTGAGACTAGTACTAGCAAAATCAATGGGAAACATTTTTGTTTAGGTGGTTTACTTTCTGGAAAAAGTAAAACATTATCATATTAGACAAAATTAACCCTCTTTCTAGGAAATTTGCAAATGACCATACAAGCCCCTTCTGGGTAATCCTCACAGATCTACTTCCTGCCTCAATTAGGCAGGGAGGTAAAAATTTATCCAAAACTCAATTAGGCAGGGAGGTAAAAATTTATCCAAAAGGCATCTATCCAGATGAAACCTACAGCCAGTATAGCCTAATCAATAAAAATAATTTGACACAATATCAAGCAGAAAGATAAAGGCTGAGAGATCAATTAAGAATGAACAAATGAAAAAAGAATGCCAAAGAATTATCTGTAAGAAAAGATTCCAGGACTAGAGTTTCGCTGGTCATTTATTTCAAATTCTTAAAGAACGTATATAACTTTCACACAACTGAACATAAGAGAGAGATTTTTCTATTTTTTTAGTTACCAAAATATAGATTAATCAAAAATGGTACTAGAGACAATTCAGAAGGACATTAAAATAAAAGCATGCCATAATCAAGAACTGTCCTCTCAGAACGAAGGATGGATGGCTCAACATTGGAAAATTAATTAATATGATACATCATGTCAATAGGTCAAAGAAGAGAAATTGCTTAAATGGACCCCAAAATATGATTTGAAAAATTCAATGCTATTCCTGAATTTATTTATTTTTAAATTTTTTTAAATGCATAGGATACCAGGGGCTTAAAAAAAATCATCTAATATCAACAACCAACACTCTATTCAAAATTCTATGTATTAGAKGCATTCCAGTGAAAACTGGAACAAAAGAAGGTATCAAAACAGCAACATCTTAATTCAACAGTATTCTATTTTATTTTTTAGGTACTAGGAATTTAACCCAGGGGCATTTTACCATTAAGTTATATCTCCAGTCCTTTTTTTGTTTGTTTATTTTGAGATAGGATCTAAATTGCTTACAGCCTCACTAAATTGCTGAGGCTGGCTTTGAACTTGCAATCCTCCTGTCTCAACCTCCCAAGCTGTTGGGATGACGTGTATGCCACCACTCCCAGCTCAACAGTATTCTAGAAGTTCTGAAAAATATATGAAAAAAATGTACAGAATAATTACAATACCAACTGTTTAAGCACCTGCCGTGTTACTAGGTGTTATACTATTTGCAAACTTTTTCTTCCTCAATTCTTAAAATACTATGGGTACTAAGATTATCCTCATTTTATGGGTTAAAAAGGCACTGGGTTGTGGTTGTGGGTCAGTGGTAGAATTCCTGCCTAGCACGTGTGAGGCACTGGGTTCGATCCTCAGCACCATCTAAAAATAAATAAATAAAATAAAGATACTGTGTTCATCTACCAAAAAAAAAAAAAAAAAACAAAAAAAAAACCACAGACTAACTCACACACACACACACTAAAAAAAAAAAAAAAAAAAAGTTGAACTCAAATCCAGGTCTTACTGCATCTAAAGCACTTCTAATTCATCATATACTCAAGGGTAATTTACTAGAAAACATACTTATTTGCAGATATGTGTCCCTTTTACTTCGAAATTTCAAAACCATCAGTGAAATTAATTTAGAATTCTTTTAAATGTCCATAAATAGTAAACAAAAGTATAATTACGTAAAAAAGATTCTTTACACAGCAATAGCCATCTAGAAGGTATAATAGCATAAAAAGTTAGCTTTTCACATCAGCAATAAATACCTATGAATAATGACAAAGGAAATATGTAAACCTTTGTGAAGAAAACTACAAAACACCTCTGTAAGATATGTAAAATTTTAGCCAAGCATGGTAGTGAAAGTCTACATTCCAGTGACTCAGGAGGCTGAAGTAAGAGAATCACAAGTTTGAAGCCAAACTCAGCAACTTGGCAAGACCCTGTTCAAGACGAAAAAATTAAAATGGTTGAGGAGGTAATCAGTGGTAGAGTTCATTCCCCAGTACTATTAAAAAAAGAAAGAAGGAAGGAAGGAAGGAAGGAAGGAAGGAAGGAAGGAAGGAAAAAGAAAAGAAAAGAAAAGAAAAGAAAAGAAAAGAAAAGAAAAGATAGATATGTAAGATTCTAAAAAGAGGCCAGGGATGCAGTAGCTCAGTGGTAGAGTGCATGAGCAAGGCCCTAGGTTAAATACCCAGGACACATGCATGCACGCACACATACATGCATGCACATACACACAGAAGGATTCTAAAATAGAAAAATGCATGCTCTTAGAAAGGCAGGTTGAACATAAGTATTAAGCCAGGTGTGGTGTCACTAGCCTCTACTACTTAGGAGACAAATGCAGGAGGATCACAAGTTTGAGCTAGCCTTGTCAACTTAGTTAGACCCTGTTTCAAAATAAAAAAAATAAAAAGGACTGGGGATGTTGTTCAATGGTAGAATGCTACTTGGTTTATTCTCCAGTCCTGGGGGTGAAGGGAGGATAACAGCTTTTCCTAAATGTAAATAAAGAATAATAAAGAATTAATACAATTTTTGTTTGGGGCACAATCTGGTTAGTGATCCACCACTTTCCCCTTTCCTCCTATGTTCTCTTACAATTAAGTGTGCTATGTGTCTAAATTCCGGCCAGTGGTATAGAAGTAGCAGTGATTCGTATCACTTTAAGGCCTAGCTCAATAAAGCCTCCCACACAATTTTCATTGCTCTCTCTTCCCCATCTGCTAGCCAGACACATAAGCTGCTGCCTATAGTACCGGGTCCTAATGCAGTCATGTGTTAAAAAAGGCAGAGCCTCTGCCAGGCCAGGTCCCTGAATAACTATGTGAGCAAAGTCCCCCATCCCACCCCAAAACCATATGAAAAAATTGCAGGCTCATTTGCTAAAGCAGAACATTTTCCTTACCCTAATAATACACAATCCAAATCACAAACAGCTGTGTTTTTTCTGTTTTCTTGTCCAGTCCCTTTGTATCTATGGGGGATTGGTTCCAGGACCCCACATAGATATCAAAACATTTGGTTGCTCAAGTCTCATATATAAAATGCATAGTAATTGCCGATAACCTACACACATCCTCCTACATACTTTAAATCCTCTCTAGATTACTTATAATACCTAATACARCATGAACACTTTGTAACTGGTTGTTATACTATATTGTTAAGGAAATAATGACAAGGAAAAAAATCTATAGGTTTTCAGTACAGACACATTTTTTTTCAAATATTTTAATTCCTGACTAGTTGAACCCATAAAGATGAAACCCACAGATACAGAAGGTCTACCATATTTTGTAATTTGATAATCAGACTCTAAAATGCATCTGAAATGTTAAACAAGCAAGAAGGAATACAAAAAATTATGAAAAGGGAAAAAAGAAGAATATATTAGGCCTACTAAATAACAGGAAAAATTATGAAGTTAAAATAATCCAAAGTATGAATCTAGTATTAGAATAAATGATTAATGGAATAATATGCGACCTACAGACTGATGCTAGTGTATAAAAAGGAACTAGTGTTACAAAGGAAACAAAATTAGAAGAAATTATAGTAGATTATCTGTCTGATAAAAGAACACAGAACACAGTGGCTTGGGAGGCTGAGGCAGGAGGATCAAAGCCAGCCACAGCAAAAGCAAGGCGCTAAGCAACTCAGTGAGATCCTGTCTGCAAATAAAATACAAAACAGGGCTGAAGATGTGGCTCAGGAGTCAAGTGTCTGTGAGTTCAACCCCTGGTACCAAAAAAAACAAAAAAGAACAATAACACAGAAAATGTTAATTTTAAAGGAGACAGAAATGACAAAAGGAAAAACATTCAAAACCAAACTAAAAAACATAAATGATAACCTTAAACCAGAAAGAAATGACAGAAAAATGGTTCACATTCCTCCTTAGTAAAAGGGTATAAAATTTGTATAAAAATGAAGATGCTCAAYCTAGAAAGAGGAAATACAGAGAAAAAAGTTTAAAAATTCCAAGTTTTCAATTCTGTGAATATTTCAACAAAATTAATCCAGGTACATTAAAACAGGTTGGCAATCATAATTTTGAGTTTACATACACTCTCATATATAAATGGAAATATATACATATTTATTTCAAACACTAATCATTCACTTATTACTAAAACCAGACCTCTGAAGACATAATAATTATTTCAAAGTCACCCCAAGTGGTATATTTATTCCTCAATCTAAGTTTCTATAGGTTCTCCACTTCCATGACAAGGGACCAGATGAATAAAGAATTAGATAGTTTATAATGCAGTAAAAGTTCCACAGAACACATAGATGAGGGTAGAAGAGGGATAGGTAGGAAATGATGGAACTGAAGAATTAATAGAGAAAGGAAAAGCAAGAAGTAGGGGTATAGTCTTCTGTGAACGTTTAAGCCATATTTCTTAGTGAATAAACAACAACAAAAAAATATTCTCAGTGTTATTTAAACAAGGTTACTAGATGAAGGCACTCAGAGCCAGACTTACTAGTCAGTGCTGGTTTGAGAAAGGAGTAAGGGAGTCTCCAGTCCCTACAGAACGTGACCCAAGTCCTGGGAAATATATCTCATCCAGGCTGTGGCAATAGGCAAAAGAACAGGTGCTACAGTTACCACAAGGTACAAGTTCCTAGAGTGTAAACCAAGAGCAGGATGGAAAGAGCAGGAGGCATAAGCTATAGATGTGCTTAATGAACAATCTGGCTCCATTTGATGGACTGCACTTAGCATTTACATTCTGAACTCCAGCAAGAGTGATGACAGGGCAGGGTTGTAGCTCTATGGTAGMGCACTTGCCTAACAAATGTGAGGCACTGGGTTCCATCCTTAACACCTCACACATAAAAATAAATGAATAAAATAAAGGTATTGTGTCCTTCTACAACTAAAATGTTTAGAGAGAGAGAGAACAGGTTCCTACTCTATGACACTTACTGGGTAAAGAACACATGAAATAACAAAATAACAATACCTTAACATATGTAAAAATCGAAACCATGTCTGGGCAACACACTCATTATCCATTTCTGGAGGGATCAGACTAGCATCTTCATCAGGAATTTTAAATGGAGGAAATGAAGGACCATATGTAAAGCGTAGCAATCTAGAAAATTAAAAAAAAATCCACTTCACTAAGTCCATTTCTTTACAGAATGAAAAATATATTCAAGCATGGGAATATGATGAGAAAATAAACAAAACATGTACTTTATCTAACTGAACAATATATATGAAAACTCTCGTTTACAAAACAGACACACTGGGAGGGATTTCCAGTTTTTAAAAAGATTTTTTAAACTTTTATTTTAAATGTTCAAATTTCCAAATGTGGTGGCGCACACCTATAATTCCAGCTTCTTGGGAGGCTGAGGCAGGAGTATAGCAAGTTCAAGGTCTGCAATCTAGTGAGACCCTGTCTCAAAATAAAAAGGGATAGGGAATTTGCCCTGGGTAGAGGGCAACAGTGGTAAAGTACCCTGGGTTTAATCCCCAGTACCAAAAACTACATACTTTTTTAAATTATTAATTTGTTACTAATTACATTATATGTCACTTATAAGTAATAAATTGTGTAGTTATTTATATAGTGTGTAATTACATTTATAATTTATAATAGAGTTAATTATATAAGGCAAATTATAGTACAAATTATTTAAGTTATTTTTGAAATATCCATCTCACTGTAAATTCTTCAATACAATTAAGCCATAATTCATATTAACAACTTTACAAGAAGTTTAGAATCTCATTATTTAGAAGTTTAGAATATGATAAACTTTTATAATGTATACCATCAAAGTCACTCAATTCAACAACTCAGCTATTTAATTTAATAGTAAAATTCTAAATATATTAATACTTTTCAAAGCCCTTTGACTCCATTATTTTATATCTAGGGATTATGGCTTAATAAAATAATCAGAACACACAAGAAAACTATATAAAGTATTCACATCAATAATATTTCTAAAATAAAATAATGGAACACACTTTTCCAAAAACAGGAATTATTACATTAATTATAATTCCAATTATATGATGGAAAACTATAAAACCATTAAAATGCAATCTCAAGAATTATTTAAGAAAAAAGTACATATAATTAAAGTAAAAAGAATCCAACATCAAATGAAAAAAGTAGATAACAATACTAAAGAATAACACTGAATGTTTTTAAAATACATTAAAATAGTAATATTGGTTATCTTTAAATGATATTTCCCCCTACATTTTATAAATTTTCTATCATAAGCATATATTGCTTTTATAAACAAAAGTATTATTTAAATGCAGATTTACAATATTGACATTTACCATGATATACCAGAATCTATAGAATATTCCAAAACTTCATCTTTTGGTTTAAACAATGATAAAGATATAATTTTTTGTGTTTTTTTTAATTAGGTATATATGACAGCAGAATGCATTTTGATTCATTGTACATAACTGCAGCACAACTTTTTATTTCTCTGGTTGTACACAATATAGATCACACCATATGTGCAGTCATACATGTACCTAGGATAATGATGTCCATCTCATTCCACCATCTTTAAGTTATAATGTTTAATTAACTCAAAGAAAGACCAGTCTGCCTTCTGATTCTTAACACACCTACAAAGTAATCTGTTCCCACCTCTTGCCCCCATCAAAATAAATCAGATCAAGTCTCTAGATTTACCAGTATACAAGAAATACAGGAGAAGTGAAGCATGTTAATTAACATGATGACAACATAACTGGAAAAATCTAGAAAGTGAAACAGTAAATAAGACAAACAATCCAGTTTCTTTAAGAAAACTGCAAAGAGCCAGGTGTGCTGGTACATCCCTATAATCCCAGCGACTCAGAAGGCTGAGGCAGGAGAATCTCAAGTTTGAGGCAAGCCTCAGCAACTTAGCAGAACCTATCTTAAAATAAAAATTAAAAGGGCTGGGATGTAGACCAGAGGTAAAACTCATCTGGGTTCAATCCGTCATAATATAAAATAAGAATAAAAACTTGCAAAGAAATAAAAATAAATGGAAACCTATAGTTTAAAATTTAATAAACATATGTCAACTAAATGCAATGTCTGAATTTTGTGTTCTAATTCAATGAAATTGACTGTAAAAAGAAAAAAATACAACAAAACTGGAACAATGGCTAGCTGATTTTAAAGAACAGTCAACCTTTTAAGGTATGATAATGGTATTGTAGTTATGCTTTTGAAAGAACCCTCATCTTCTAGAGTTATGTGTTAAAATATGTACAGTTGAAATTAAAAAAAAACAAGTCTGAAAAAATGAAAACAGTTTGCTCACAGAATAGTGAGAGTAACATATATATAAATGTAGAAAGGCAAAATTATTATCATAAAAACACTGTCTACTTTGGTTACAAAGAAGCATGTAGTTTGGTCCCATACTAAGTATTTATACTTAGTAGAATTTCTGGTAAAATCTTCTGTCATGTTTTTCTATAGTTTTTTTTCCTTTAAAATTATGACCATGCATATTTTAATAATCAGACTTAAGAGGACAATTTGGTCAAGAGGCTGAGGCAGAAAGATCACAACAAGATCAAGATCAGCCTTAGCAACTCAGTAAGACCCTAAGCAACTTAARAAGACTCTGTTTCAAAATAAAAAATAAAAAGGGCTGGGGGTGTAGCTCAGTGGTAAAGTACCCATGGGTTCAATACCCAGTGCCCAAAAAACATAAAGCATGTGACTGATGAGGAGAGGGGAACAAATGGGTTCAGAATTTATCTGGTTCTCAAAAATACTTGATTATTCTGATTTTTTAGAATAGATGTGCACTAGCCAAACTGATACATGTTTTTTAAATCAGCTCAAATTTATATCTAAAGTACAATGATAACAGATCTAGACTTTTAAAGTATATTCCATGAATCCCAGAAAGGTGCAGAAGCAAAGAGAAGGACAGACAGATGAAGGAAGACAGTGACATACCTGGAAGTCAGTGCACAGATGACCTTGCTCCACTGCTCCACCACTGCTGGGTGGTGCCTCCAATTAGCCACCATCTCCTTGGCTGTTTTCCAATAAGGAGGTGTTGGAAAACACCGAGTACAAGCTAGTAACCAAACTTCAAAGAGAACACCAATCAACTTCTCTGCTAGATTCTCAGCAATGCCACCTGACCAACAAAAAGAGAACATATCTTGGCACACTTATTTTTACAGCAAAATCTTTAATTGATGGATTTGGGAAGACTAATTTAAAATAACTATAATGTTAAATATTAATTTACAAATAACTATTTAATTTTCTCTATTTTATAGAAGTAACTATTGGGCGCTCCTATAAAGGAAATCATAGATAACACCAACAAATTACTCTGAAGAGTTTTCAAAATTGCCCTGCTAGTTTTTACTGAAAATCTTAATCTTCYAGCAAAAGAGATATAGGCACACAAAGGAGAATGGAAAGAATGAGTGCTTACAGTGAGTACTAGAAGTTAATTTCTGTGCCAAGTAATCCATACTCAAGACCTGACAAAATCCTCAAATTATTTCTGCAGAATAAGTATTCATAATACCTATTACCAATTATTAACCATACCCATTTTTGAAGATGAGAAAACTTGGGTTCAGGAAGTTTAAGTAATTTGTCCAAGCTCATGCAGCCAATAAGAAAAGGAATCAAAAGAAATACACGGGTCTTCCTAACTCCAAAGACTGCCATATGATGTTCCCAGGTGTTTGAAAGCTACCCTTTAAGGGAGAAAGAGACAAAGAAGAAGCAAAACGACCGGGACTGGATAGTACAGAACCTTAACCATGAAAACAGAGCTGTTTTTCTGTTCTGAGCCCTGGGATCAAACGGAACAACCATGGTAGACTTTACTCTGTATAGCTCCAAAAGGCAAAGTTGGTACTAGTATAGGAAATAATAAAGATGCATATTTCAAAAGAATAAAACCAAAGTTCCAAGAACAAAGAACCCAGAAGGAGATGAACTGTATGCCTCATGCTGTTGAGATCAAAAGCATGGAGAGTGAWTAGCAGAGAGCTAATAAATTAATGACTGGACACCACTGTCCACACCAGACAGAGTATTCCTATACTGGGATCCCTTCCCACATTAAAATTCCATGATTTCTTTTAGATGTTTCCCTAGACCCTACATCTATATGACAACAAAGGCATATTTGTGCACATTAGTAAGGAAAGTACACAGATAAATAAGATACAAAGGCCTGGAACTAGAACTTATAGTTTGTGTACACTGTGCTTTAACCTACAAAGCAGGGCTTCTGAAAAGCACTCCAAAGTTTTATAAAACCGGAGGTTTTTTTAATGGCTAACTAATGAATGGCATACTGTCACACTTTCATATAAAACACTTAAGACTCTAGAAGTTTCATTTGCTGAACAAATTATCTTCTGTCACTGTGAAGTTTTCAGAGTTTACTTCGATAACTACTATGCCATCAGGTAATTATCTATAGGCTTTAATTTAATTAGTTCATAAATTCCTATATAAGCTCTGTTCTAACACACTAATAATAGTTTCTGTCCTAGCCTTCCCAAATGTGCAAAATTTACTGAGTTCTTTCCTATATGAGCAAAATTATCACTGAAGGTAAAATTAACTTTCATTAGCCATACTATGCCTTTGAAGGTTTCCTTTCTAAGAACAGTAAATCATGGTTTGCTAACTGTCATGCCAAAATTTTAATCCCCAATGAGTCTATCACTTATTGAGTGTAAATGTGAACGATATTTGGAGCTCATAAATAAATGAGGAAAAAAAAACAAAAACAAACCTTGAACAGTTGGTGGGGCCAGAAGTATGTCATTGATCTGCAGAAGAAACAACAGTAAGACTTCCCAGGTTTCTCGGGCCATTATGGATGACTCACGAGCCAGTTTCTGAATGGCTCTCAGGACCTGTAAGCATAGTCGGGTCTGACTGGAGCCATGTTCCTGTCTGAAGAAGACAGACAGACATCACTGACAAGCCTGGAAGAGACAGCAAAAGCTGAAGGACAGGCAGCTTACAGACACAGCAAGCTAGTCCAATGAGGCTCCCTGAGGGCATCAGCAGACAGTGCTAGGCATACCCTCCTTGGTTTAAAGCTAATTCATTTAAATTACACAGTTAGTACTCTGGGATTACAACCTTCCACTCCCTGAGAATTTAGAAAGCTTCCAAGAGAAAGGGGAATACTAGAATGCAAACCTTACGTCTAGATTCTCTATGTCTAAAATGTGCCTGGTACATAAAAGCAGCACTCAAGTTTTGGATAAATAAGTAAATACCTACAGCAACTCTTGCTGCTTAACTAAAGCACAAAGGCCCTTGTGCTTTAAAAAAAAAAAAAAAAAAAAAAAAAAACATATACACACACAATCACAAGGATTCTGCATGTGATTTACAGTGCTCACAGGCCCTCTAATACTAATGTCTGCTAGGGAAGAGCCTGGGAGGTCCATTGGAATGTCCAAAATTGGTGGGGTACGTAAGCATTGCCTCAGAGATGAGTACCTGCTCTAATAACAATGATGGGAGCTCCAAAGAATAACAGTTTTAAAATTCTCCTTGGTCTGCATGATTATATTTTTTCAAGGGAAGGAGATCAATCTATAAAATAAATTATTGTGTCTGGGATTAAAGAGGAAGATAAAAGTCCAAACCCCAGGGGGCTAGGGATATAGTTCAGTTGGCAGAATGCTTGCTTTACATGCACAAGGCCCTGGGTTTGATCCCACCACAAAAAAAAAAAAAAAAAAAAAAAAATCCAAATCCCAGTCCCTCACCCCATTTCCCAAGGTGGATCACCTGAGAATTTTGAGAATAGGAGCAAATAAGCAAATAGTGAGCTGACCTCCAGACTTCTCATTTCAATTCCAAGACAGAATCTACAATATTACTTTAAAACAACAATAACAAAAACCCTGAAACCAAGTTTCTGTATATTGTGATTTGTCACAAAGAACTGACAGAAATATGTCTGATTCAGGGTAGGGAATTTCAGAGCCTCCTCAAGAAATTCCCCAAAGGGGGGGGAAAAAAGAGTGCTTCTTTCCTTCCTCAACAATAGAATAGAGAATCCCAGATTCCAGATCATTACCCAGAAAACTGGTCACTTACCCTGGAGTTACAATAGAATAGAGAATCCCAGATTCCAGATCATTACCCAGAAAACTGGTCACTTACCCTGGAGTTACATTGCAATCAAATGACACCACTAAATTTTCTCTTAAAAAAAAAACAAATCTAAAGCAAAATGAAAAGACAATCACCTAGGAAGGGCCAAGAGCTCAAAAAAGCAAGGAAATATCCCACATTCAGCTGGAGGTGAATCCAGTCCATTTAAATTCATGAGGCTCAAGTTCATCTTTGTTGCAGTGGCTAACTTGAGGAAGAACAAAATATTACATAGTAAGCCAGGCATGGCGGTGCACACCTGTAATCCCACAGACTCACGAGGCTGAGTTCAAGGCTAGCCTTGGCAATTTAGTGAGACCCTGAATCAAAATAAAAACTAAAAAGGGCTAGGATGAAGTTTAGTGGTAAAGAAGCCCTGGGTTCAACCCCCAGTACCAAAAACAAAACAAAAAAAAATTACATAATAACCCAAACCTTACCTAGTCATAGAAGAGGAAGTCCACAATAAGAAATAAAAATACCACTAGTGGTCCTGGGGCTGACTCTTCCAAACTAGCAGTAATATACTGCATGCCTCCACTGGTACTTGAGGCTTATTCACTATTTCCAGGTACCTTTCCAGTAGCAGGAAAGGAAATAAATGCTCTTCTGTATGTTAGCTTCATTCAAAAGACCTACATTTGGGTTCAATCCCCAGCACCACACACACAAAAAAGGCCTAAATTCAGGAGCAGGATCCAAATTCCTAATGCTAGGATAAACAAAGTAATCTTTATATAAAAGTGAGCAGAGTGTCTAAACACCAGAGATTTTTCTTTCCTCCAATATTCTTAAATGTAACTTGTGGTATTAAATAAAACTATTTTAGAACAGAAGCCAGGAAACTATGGCCAATAGGTTAAATTTGGCCTACCCTGTGCTTTCATAGGTTCTACTGGAACAGAGCCATGCTCCTTTGTTTATGTAGTCTATGGCTGCTTTCCTGCTGCACTAGCAGGGTTGACTAGTTCCAACACCCACATGGCCTGCAAAGCTGAAGATATTAATACCCAGCTCTTCACACACACAAAAAAAAGTTTGCTGACCATTGCTTTAGAATATCCTTACATTTCTTAAAACACAGTACACTTGAGCTATTAAAATCCTCATCAACTTTAAAGATGGCTTACTTTTCACTAATTTTGAAAAACAAACAAATAAACTGAAGGGCAAAAGAGAAAAGGGTACATCTACTCAGACTTGGGTTTCTAACAAAATGGTAAAGACAGTGTCCCATATTTTGAGAGTCAGTTTATGTAAAAACAATTAAGTAAAACGACAAATTTGCTCTGAATTTTTTAAAACTGACACTTCCAAGATTAGATCATAACTCCCAATATTTAACACTATAAAATATTCAACTAATCTTCATATAACTTTATTGGCCAGGAGAACTCTAACTCAGTTCAGTGCCTTTTCAGAATGGATTAATCTTATGCATACATACTTTGGAGAAAACAATTACCAAATAGTAGAACAATTAATAAAGTAGTCATGTTTCTCAAAAAGAAAAGTAAACACAAAGCCCAATTAACTCAAAGACCATTAGTTTTTGTTTTTTGATTTTTTTCCCCAGCAGTTCAAAGTAACTCAGCACTGAGAAATGGTAAAGGTACAAAGAAAGAGATACAGTACCAATACTACTCATAAGATCATCCCATAGGCAAAGAAAAAAATTCAGTAAATTGGTCTTCTAAATGGGATAATAAGAAAGATTAAAACTAGGCTGGGGTTGTGGCTCAGTGATACAGCACTTGCCTAGCAGCGGGAGGCACTGGGTTTGATCCTCAGCACCACATAAAAATAAATAAAGTTATTATGTCCATCTACTGCTAAAAATATTTTTAAAAGAAATAAAGATTAAAAACTATAACATTTTAAAAGAACCTACTTGCCTACAACTTGCTAATTACTCTTGAGACATTTCTTGTTATTACTTCCATTTGTAGTCAATAAACACAAGAAACAGGCTTTTGATACACACCTAATATAGTACTAGTACTGCATCTGGTACAGTAGAAAACCCAAAATATAGACAACTTGGTTTCTGCTCTCAAGCTGGTTAGATGGAAAAAGGAAACACATTTTAAAGGATAAGCAACAAAACGCTGAGATACAAGAGTAATACAGGAAGTACCCTACAAATTCAGAGGGGGTGTGTTTACTGTGAGCCGGTGGGCTGGAAACTGGGAAGGCTTCTCATTGCAAGACTGAAATTAAAATGAAGCAATAAAAGTGAGATGTGGACAGCGAGGTGATAGAGAGAAGGAAAAGGAAGAGGACAAAGGGAAGATGATGATGGGATAGATCTTTAAGGAGTCTTAAATGAATGTTTACTTTATGAGTCTGACTAAACAGCAGTACTCACAGAATTAGCAGCAACTAATCTAGTTAAGGGCCAGATTACAACTTGTACTTCGTAACAGGTAAAAAGTTTATACCTGAATTTATTACCAAAGTCCTTAATGGAGACTTGTTTTTTTGTTTTGTTTTATTCCTGCAGGGGTAGGGTGGGGTGGATACTAGGGATTGAACGCAGGGCTCCTTACCATTGTGGTATAGGCCCAGTCTTTTTTATTTTATTTTATTTTATTTTGAGATAGGGTCTTGATAAGTTGCTGAGGCTCTCACTAAGTTGTTGAGGTTGGCCTTGAACTTGCAATTCCCCATCTTAGTCTTCCAAGTCTCTGGGTGTGCACCCAGAGACTTGGAAGATTAAGGTGGAAGACTACACACAGCCAAGACTTGTCTTCTTTAATTTGGATTTTCCAAAGCAAATTTCATTCTAAATTTAGGAAGTTAAAATTCAGAAAGTTGGTTTTTGAGTGATTCAAAGTCCTTCATCATCTGACAGACCAAAGTTCTGGTTCTCCCAACTAGAACTTTTCCAAAAGAAGAAAAACCTCACTGCCCCTTTCAGACATAAAACATATCTGAAAACAGACACTCACAAATAGGCAGGCAACTAATGCTTTCTTCTCCATTCTTTTCTTTATTTCCCAGAATCTATTATAAGGATATATAATAACTGTGTGTGTGTGTGTGTGTGTGTGTGTGCGCGCGTGCGTGCGCATACATGCAGTAAGGATGGGACCCAGGGCCTTGCACGTGCTAAGCAAGCACTTCACCACTAAACTGTACCTTCAACCCCAGCAGACATAATAGTTTCACAATCAGGAAAAAAAAAATGTAAGCACAAACAAGGCAGATATTCTAAATTTTGATATTTAAGACCTTTTCCTTAGAAGACAGGAAAAAAATAGTAACAAATTTTCAAGAGTAATCTTTAGGCCCATCATAAATTTGGCTATAATAATTTCAAGCTTTCTTTCTTTTTTTCTCTAAGCTTCATCTTCTCACAAGGAAGATTCATTTAAGGTAGAAGGCTTAGTTGCCTTTAGCTCAAGTGGAGACAAGCCTTATGTCAGGCAAAAGTATGTTTTTTTGAGCACTATATTTAACAGTTATCAGATCTTAGAAGAAAAGCCAAAATCATTTAAAATGAACACACAAGGGGCTGGGGATGTGGCTCAAGCGGTAGCACGCTCGCCTAGCGTGTGTGCGGCCTGGGTTCGATCCTCAGCACCACATACAAACGAAGACGTTGTGTCCGCCGAGAACTAAGAAAAAGTAAATAAATATTTAAAAAAAAATTTTCTCTCTCTCTCTCTCTCTCTGTCCCCCTCTCTCTCTCTCACTCTCTCTCTTAAAAAAAAAAAAAAAATGAACACACAACTATTTATAACTCCTGGTAAACATTATATAAGCCCATCTTTCTGATTCATATTAATATACTCTTTAACTGAATGAATAAGTCAATGGTCAAAGAACTAATGATGAAATCAGCTTCTATATATAATAAAGTAACATTTATGAATGTTTTGTTATGATCTAAATAATAAGCCAGATAGACGGGTATATCTTACCTTGGTACAAAAAGATTTTGTAGGTGTTTTAGTATACTTTGAACATATAGATTAGGCTCTTTAATAACGGGCAATGGAATAGAATCTTTCGGCAACACTAAAGCCATAATCCAGTCTGTATACACATCAACACAATATTTTACAGTCTCTCCATCCAGTGGAAGGGTCAGTCCATAGCAAATTACTTCCATGGTCCATTTTACCTAAACAAAAGAAAATATCCATATAGAATTATTATATATCCCTATCTATATCTCAGGAGACTAAAATGATAAGCTTTTTTATTGCCAAAAACCTCTAAATTGATATTATACTTATCTCAATATATATATCAAATTTATTCTAGACAATACAATTTTCAGATGTCAGACATATAACATTTCCCAAGCCAAAGGATTTCAGAAGAAAAAAAWTTTTTTTTTGGTACCGGAGATTGAACAAAGGGGCACTTAACYACTCAGCCACATCTCCATCCCTTTTTATGTTTTATTTAGAGACAGGGTCTCAATAAGTTGCTGAGGCTGGCTTTGAACTCACAATCCTCCTGCCTCAGCCTCTCAAGTCGCTGGGATTACAGGAATCCGCCACTGCAACTGGCTCTGAAAATAAATTATTTTTACCCTTTATACAATATTACTGTTCTCTCTGTGAAATAAAGTCATTTCAATTTTCCATAAATACTGGAAGCACAAAAATAGAAAATTTTAGATTTTTTTCTCTATTTAATTTGCAACAGGAATATGTATCATTTATGAAATCAGATACATAAATTCAATCTCATTCCATCTCCAGATTATACAACAGTAATAGGAGCAAATGACAGGAAGGAAAAGGGCTCTTGTTTTACAATCGTCTTCTCTGCCAAAGAAAACAATACTTAAAATGGGTAGGTGTGAAGGGTCTGGAGTTGGGTAAGATCTTTTTAAAACATTTTTATTGGAGCATTATAGTTACACACAAAAACTAGATTCATTTTGAGGGTAAGATCTTAACAAGGCACTTGGCTGTACTAAAGGAGTCCCAGCCTCCTGACCCCCCTGAATTACATACTAAGGGCTAAAATTGCCCAAGAGACTGGTAAAATATTGTTTTCAGTCATAAAGAGTGGATGCAATGCTCTGAGAAAGAAGAAATACCCCAATTCGGAAAAGAATAGGATACTATATTCCAGACACTRCAGACTTTAATATTTAAGGGAATCCCAAACAAAATTCTGGGACCAATTTAAGTAGATGATCAGTGAACACTTATAAAAAGGGAATATAATCACTAAGAACCAATCTGCTCAAAAAAAAATCAAGTCATGCCAGACAAGCTTCATTCCTTTACTAATTAGGATTCCTGTGAGCTAACAACTGTAAAGTCCTTGCAATTTATAAACCACTTGCATAAAAATCATCTAACTATCATATTAACCCTGTGTGAGAGGGTAATTGTTCTCAGTTTATACATAAGAAAACTGAAACGGGGCATAGTAAGGTACACAGGTAATCCCATTGACCTAGGAGGCTAAGGCAGGAAAACTGCAAGTTCCAGGCCAGCCTCAGCAAATTAGAGAGACCCTCAGCAATTTAGCAAGACCCTGTCTCAAGATAAAAAAGAAAAAGTGGGGGCTGGGGTTGTAGCTCAGTGGTAGAGCACTCACCTAGCACATGCGTGGTGCTGGATTCGATCCTCAGCACTACATAAAATAAAATAAAATAAAATAAAATAAAGGTATTATGCCCAACTACAACTAAAAACCAAAATATTTAAAAAAAAAAAAAAGAAAGAAAGAAAAGGACTGGGGACATAGCTCAGTGGTAAAGCACCCCAGGGTTCAATCCCCCAGTACCAAAAAGAAAGAAAAAAAAAAAAGAGAGAGAGAGAGAGAGGAAAGAAAACTTTAGTTTAGCAAGTTTAAGTAATTTAGTCCATCACTGTTTGGTAAATGGTGAAACTAAAAACTTGAACCCTGGGCTGGGGTTGTGGCTTAGCAGTAAAGCACTCGCCTCACACGTGCGAGACCCTGGGTTCGATCCTCAGCACCACATACAAAAATAAACACGTGAAATAAAGGTGTTAACTAAAAAAATAAATATTAAAAAAAAAACTCGAATCCTGGTCTTCTAACTAGAAATTTGAAGCTATTCTTAATTAATTAATATCTTTCTCTGGTACAGGGGTATCTGGGCTTTAGCAAGAAATTTCCTTATGACAAGATGGAGACATATATCCCATAAGATAATGAAATACCTGGATGTACAACTAGTCAAGATACCAAGAGAGAATCACAATGGATTACTACACCAAGATATTTCAAAAAAAGGTTCCATCCAGTGGTATGCCAAAGGCCCTGCCAATATTTTTTTTTTCTTCAATACTAGAGATAGAACCCAGGGCCTTATACATGCTAAGCAAGAGCTCTACCACTGAGCTATGACCTCAGCCCCTGCCCCAAAATTTTAATTTAACAACAGATTACATGTTGATCATATGTAGCTATCAWAAAGATAAAAACAGTGGCCAGCTTTTTGGACAGAAATTCAGGATTCGAAAAGACTTAAAACTAAAATTAAAGTTAAATGTGAAAAGATATGTACGTGTATAACATGTTTTAAACTCAAAAACTACAAAGGCTCAGAGTAGAAAACATATGGTTTAACAGCAATAAATGTTAAGGTCTAGAGCAACATAGTGAAGCTGTGACAAATTAGGAGTGGCTGACAAATTAGGAGTGGTGTGTCAGGTTTTAGCAACACAAGATCTTAAAGGAAGTTGCAGGTCACTAAATATCAGATAAAAAGAAAAAGGAGAAGACATCTTTGGTAATATCTTCACACAGTAGTTGAATTGTATAATTCTAGAAGATACAGTATTCAAGAACTATTCTCATCTCCTCTAGAGGGTAGGAAAGGAGAATAAACAAGGGCTACACTAGGGAGCCTCTATCTACCCACATGCCATCTCTTCCCATGGGAAGGTAGCAAGGGGTCATAGCCACAACCAGAGGAGTGTGCCAGGGCCTGTGCTAAGGGGTAAGTCTAGGAGCCTTTGGTGAGAGAAAAATGCTCCTCTAACTGAGGGACTTCACCCTTTAGTGGTCTACGGCCAAGAGTATCAACAAACTGCCTTCTAAAGCTGCAAGCTTTCACCTCATATCTAAGTCTAATCTGTCCTTGATGAAAGATCAAAAAGTAAGGAGGTGCCGGGTGCGGTAGTGCACATTTGTAATCCCAGCAACTCCAGAGGCTGAGACAGGATGATCACAAGTTCAAAGCCAGCCTGAGCAGATTACCAAGGTACTTCTCAACTCAGTAAGACTCTGTCTCTGAATAAAATATAAAAAAAGGGTCGGGGGTGTGGCTCAATGGTTAAGCACCCCTAGGTTCAATCCTGGTTCCAAAAACAAAACAAAAAATACAGAGGAAAAAAGGATCTAAGAAACTGGTAAAGGGTTTGGTACACCTAAAGCCTGAAGGTTGCATGAGTTTCCTCAAGGAGACAAAGTTTTAATTGCACATCTTAGCTAAATCTCATACTAGCAAGGTCCTACAGAATTGCCCATTCTTGGGACTCCTTTATCACTTTCCACTGAGGTTAATCCAATCCCCTACACCCAAGAACAGAGGACAAGCTCCAAGATGAACTACTCCAAGAGTCCTTTATCTTTAGAAATGGCAAGCATGACTTGGGCTTACAACATGAAGAGCTCATCTGCTCTATAGCACTCTTGTCTTTTTTTTTTTTTTCTTTTTCTTTTTTGGTCCTGGGAATTGAACCTAGGGGTGATTTACCACTCGGTTATATTACTAGAGATAGGGTCTCACTAAATATCTTACTAGAGATAGGGTCTCACTAAATTGCTGAGGCTGGCCTTGAACTTGCAATCCTCCTGCCTCACCCTTGAGAGTCTCTGGGATTATAGGTGTGCACCACCACACCCAGTTTCTATGGCACTCTTAAAGCTGGAAGCCAGCCAAGGACTGAGAAGATGGAAGAGCTCAAACTCAGCCATACATGTAGCCTGAAAATTTGATGTAAAATGGGCTTTTAGTCAGGGGGTATCTGGAGGTAGGGATGAGGGCTTCCAAAAACACCCAGAAATAGAAATTAGGGGAAAGAATCTAACATTCAAGTCTCTGTCTTGGGCACTTAACTCAAGTGGAGAATTGGGCATGGCTAGCTGAAAGCCCCAGTAATGAAAGGTAAAATCCATTCCTTATAATCTCTACAAACTCCAAACCCCACCCCTCAATCTCAAAAAGATCAAAACTGAGAAGTCACAGAACACTGGGCAGAACTTCATTTAAAAATCAACATTAAATAAACTTTTCAGTAGCAAATTTATATTTTCACATAATAGAAGGAAATGAATCAACACTTACTTCTTTGTCAGTTTTTAACAAACTCTCACTACCAGCCACTGAAGGAGTGCCTAATGCCTGCCCAAGAGGACGAACCACTGCATTTGCAACCTCTCGCCCAACGCTCTCTGGATAGCTGTGCAGCACACTGGTATGACCCTGATCATTCTGAATCACCAAATGCAGGGACCTCCACTCAGAGTACATCGTGCCGCTAAAGTACTAACCAAATGGCACCTGAAAAGACAAAACAGAAATGCATGTCAAATTATACTACTGCAAATTAGTAAAAAAATTTAGGTGACAAGATGTTTAAAAAGACCATAAACATACAATAGCTAGAAAACAGAAAAAAATAATATCTAAATGTTTGGGGAATATCACAAAATGACCTCATGATAAGATGAAATAGGAAGGCAGACCCCTGAGAAGCAGCTGTCTGAGCACTTCTCCAAAAAATCCTCAGAAGCCCTGGAGAAAATGGCCACTGTGCAGGGGAATAAAATGATCAGCTCTGGGACCTTTACAACATGAAGCGGAGTGCGGAGAATGAAGTACTCTAAAGAGGAAAGGAGACAGGGGCTGGGGATGTGGCTCAAGTGGTAGCGTGCTCGCCTGGCATGCGTGAGGCCCGGGTTCTATCCTCAGCACCACATACAAACAAAGATGTTGTGTCCGTCRAGAACCAAAAAATAAATATTAAAAAATTCTCTCTCAAAAAAAATTTAAAAAAAAATAGGAAAGGAGACAAAAAGATTTCACTCAGACCCAGATTTTTTAGTTAACAGTTTTGAGCAACACAGCCCCCATTTATCCATGGTTTCACTTTCCAGTTTCAGTTACCCAGAGTCAACTGTGGTCCAAAAATATTAAATGAAATTTTTCAGAAACCATGGTACCCTGAGTAGCATGATAAAATCTTGAGCCATCCCAGCCCATCCTGCTTGGGCTGTGAACCATCCACTTATCTAGTATATTCACCCTGTATGTGTTACCCATCCCACTGGTCACTTAGAAGCCATCTTCATTATCTAATTGTCATGGTATACAATGCTTATGTTCAAGTAACCTCTATTTTACCTAATAATGGTCCCAAAGTGCAAGAGTAGTGGTGTTAGCAACACAGATATGCCAAAGGTAAGCCATGAAATGATCACTTTGAGTGAAAAAAGGAAAGTTCTTGAGCGAAAAAGAGAAAAAAATCCTGTGCTGAGGTTACTAAGCTCTATAATTAGAATGATATGTCTATCAATGAAACTGTGAAAGAAAAAGAAATTCATATTAGTCTTACTGTTGGATCTCAAACTGCAAAGGCTACTGCCATAGTAAGTGAGARGTGCTTAGTAAAGACAGAAAAGGCATTAAATTTGTGGATAAAAAACATAAACAGAAAAATGTGCTCTAATAGCAACATGTTTGTGCCAGAAAGTGTGAAGCCTATACCAGCCTGTAGGGTTCAGTACTACCCAAGGATTCAGACATGCACTAGAGGTCTTGGAACATCTCTCCATAAAGGAGAGACAACTGCGCCTATTATGCACTAAAAACATACCCCTGCAATTTTCTACCAACATCCTCAAATTAGACTTTCAAATTCTTTGAGAATAATTCATTTCTTGCAAGAAAATCACTCAAATTTCCAGTAACAGATATCTGGAATTCACAGTATTCTTTAGAAAACATTTTAAAGGCAGCCACTTATTATATATTTACTACATTTTACTCATGCAATCATCAAAACAACCTTATGAATATGCAATAATGTTATGCCTATTTCACAGATGAAAAAGTCAACAGCATAGATAAGTCTGCTTCTTACATGAAGCTCCAGAGCTCTAACAGGGTAGAGCTGGATACTGAACCTAAACCTGCTGGGCTCCAATACACATGGCACGTACTGCCTCCCCCTATCCTATACATTCTCCCCAGCTGATACTGCTTCTGCACATGCTGTTTGCTCTCCATGAAGTTATATCTAAGTTGGCCATACAAATGAGGAATTTTAGTTGCAGAAAACATACCTGTATGAATGCAATGTAAATACTAGAACCATAAAAATCATACTCAGAGAATTGAGAATGTTGAGTCCTTTTCAACTCATTTCTATCACCTTTTCTGAATGTTTACTCAGCCCACAGTTTAAGCAAAATACACAGGTACAATGAATCTTTTAAAAGTTCTACCCCTTTGGGGGGCTAGGACTGTAGCTCAGTGGTAGAGTGCCCGCCTCGCACCTGTGAGGCACTGGGTTCAATCCTCAGCACCACATAAAAATAAATAAATAAATATATATATAAAAATAAAAAGTTCTACCCCTTTGGGACTGGGGTTGTGGCTCAGTGGTAACGTGCTTGCCTAATATGCCTGAGGCACTAGGTTCGATTCTCAGCACTACATACAAATAAATAAAATAAAGGTCCATCAACAACTAAAAAATATATACATAAAAAAAAAGTTCTACCCCTTAAGCTACTTCTTCTTCAAAGTGAGAAGAGACTAGCAATGTTTAATTTTATCCTGCAAAACTTCATTCCAGCTCACTAAATATTAGTGTTTTTTCAAGAGCATATGGCATTTGCAAATCTTTAGTCTACAGAATGAAAATCAAACTCCTTAGCCTGACAATGTCATTCACAGTCTAGTCCCAAACTACCTTTCTTTCTTTGTTCCATATACAGAAACCCATCACTTTCTCTCTCCTCTATCATCCTACTCAACTACTCAGCTTCTTTTGGAGTCTGAGAAACTCCGGGTGTAGCAACCATATGAGGATCTTCTGATTGCCTTCCTCTGAATCTGTCCCTGCATATTAAAAGGCAGGAGGGGGAGGGGAGGGGGGATAGTAGAGAATAGGACAGACAGCAGAATACATCAGACACTAGAAAGGCAATATGTCAATCAATGGAAGGGAAACTGATGTGATAYAGCAATTTGTATACRGGGTAAAAGCGGGAGTTCATAATCCACGTGAATCAACCGTGTAATATGATGTATTAAGAACTATGTAATGTTATGAATGACCAATAAAAAAAAAGTTAAAATAAGTAGATTCAGAGTAAATAAATTCTCCTTTGGAAAAAAAATAAATAAATAAAAGGCAGGAGGAAAAGACCACTATCTAACAAGGTACCTATAATTTAATGGAAGAGTGGATGTGTCTGACAACTGAAATTGCTTCAGGTTCCTTATGATTTATAAGGAATTCTCCTAAGAATATCCTTGTACCTCCCTGAAATAAGCACTCTTAGAAATGGGGAAAAAAGGAAAGTTCTGATTGGCAGCCATCATTATCAGAAGATAACTTATTCCCACACATTTTTCTTCTTTATTAACACATATATACACACACGAATATGGATGTCATACAATATACATATAACATATATACAGTATATGTACATATACAATACATAGTCTCTTATATAAATGCACAAGGATATTTTATTACAGGGATTTTTTAGTGTAGTTTTTCACCCTTTCATTTTTATTTTGGCTTTATTCCCTGTCCAAATAATTTACTTCCCTGGATGATCATGTTAACTTAATACTTTCTCCTATATCTTGCTCCACCCTACCTCAAACACATTAAAATAATTTATATCACACACATCTAAGGATTATATACTTTTTTTGGTATTTAATTTTATTTTCTCCATTCAATAGTAAATATTTCATGAATATTCTACCAACTAATAAGATTTTTTTGCTGGCTGTGTAACAGTCCATGGTACGGGTGTAGCATAAATTATTCAACCAGTTTCTAATAATGTACATTTGCATCATTTCCTTTTATTCTTTTGTTATCTGAAAATGATGATGTAATAAACATGTTTGTTCATGTATTTTTAAGAGTAGCCTTTCTATTTCTATGGAATAGGTTCTCAAAGAGTAAAACTGTTAGATCAAAGGGTAAATATATATATATTTTTTTAAAAGAGAGAGAATTTTTAATATTTATTTTTTAGTTTTCGGTGGACACAACATCTTTGTATGTGGTGCTGAGGATCGGACCCGGGCCGCACGCATGCCAGGTGAGCGCGCTACCACTTGAGCCACATCCCCAGCCCTGGGTAAATATATTTTTAATGTGAAAAGGTTTTGCCAGACTGCTCCCAAAAAAAGCTGTAGCAACTCCCATATACATTAGGAATCAATGAATCTTTTCCTGCTAGGAATCAGCATTATTTATAAATTTGCTAATTTGATAGGTATGAGGTAAAAATTTCATTGTTCTAGCCAAGTATTTACTTTTATTTTACAACTTCTGGATTTTTGTTTTAAGTTGTAGTTGAACACAATACCTTCATTTGATTTATTTTTATGTAAAATAAATAAATAAAATTGCTGAGGATTGAATCTAGAGCCTCAAGCGTGCTAGGCAAGCACTCTACCACTGAGCGACAACCCCAGCCCCCAATTTCTGGTTCTAAAGGTTTCTACTCCCTACGCCCTCTACCAATGTTTTTCAAACTGTGGATCATGAAATAAATAAAATGGGCAATATTTCTACTTTTAAAAATATGGAAGAGGACATAAATCAAGGGCATCACACATAGTAAAGGCAAGCAATGTTCTGTGAAACTTGTTTCATTTTTTTACAAATGTGTTATGTTCTGGGTCACAATGTAAAATACATTTCATATTATCAGTCGTGGTAAAGAAGTTTGAAAACATCACCCTAATGAGTACATGTAATGTCCTAGATTTCCCTGCAAGACATCAAGGGGTTTATCACATTTTAGTTTTATATTCTTTTTTTTTTTTTAAAGAGAGAGAGAGAGAGAATATTATTTTTAATATTTATTTTTTAGTTCTCGGCGGACACAACATCTTTGTTGGTATGTGGTGCTGAGGATCGAACCCGGGCCGCACGCATGCCAGGCGAGCGCGCTACCGCTTGAGCCACATCCCCAGCCCTAGTTTTATATTCATATGGAATTTACTTCTACAAGTGATAGAATTTACTTTCCTACAAGTATAGGAAAGGCTCAATTTTATTTTTTTCCTCAATACACAGTTGTGCCAGTATCATCTATTAAAAAGATGTCCTTATTTCACTGAACTGAAATGCCAATTTTGTCATATATYAAATTCTCATTTATACTGGAATCTATGACTATTCTGTTCAACTATGCCAAGAACATAAAACATTTCAATATCTTGAAAGGAAATCCCTTCTACTCTGTTCTTTTTTCAAGTTTATTAGTTATTCAAGGCAGTTAATTATTCTTTCATAT